TTGGGGATTCCCTGGGCGCTGTTTGTGCGGTGAAGGGGGAAACGGGCCTGGGGGCTGGGAGGACGCGGTCGTTGTTTCCTCAGCGTGTTCCCACTTCGGTGCTGCCTTCATTCCTCAGCACTGTTTTTCCGCCCTGTGCTGGGATCTCTTTAGCCCGTAGAAAGCCGGATAAAGAGCTCTCCGCTGTTGTTGCAGGCAGGGAGGTGAAACGCAGTAGTTCCCCCGGAGAGCCTCGCTCTGTGGGTGCCCTTGGGATCAGAAGGTTGCCTCCCTGGGTGGTAGGCACCATATGGTGCTCGGAAAAATCCCTGTCGTTCTGTTGGTCGTGCAGGTGGAGGATCTTGTTCCGTCGCAGCCTCTGCCCCCCTTAACAGTGCTCCTCTCCCTTCGCAGGTATGGCCTCACAGCTGCAGGTGTTCTCCCCTCCGTCAGTATCCTCGAGTGCCTTCTGCAGTGCCAAGAAACTGAAAGTGGAGCCCTCTGTCTGGGATGTGTCAGGACAGAGCAGTAGTGACAAGTATTATACCCACAGCAAAAACCTCCCAGCAGCTCAAGGGCAAGCAAGCTCCTCTCATCAGGTAGCCAATTTCAGCATCCCTGCCTACGACCAGAACCTCCTCCTCCCTGCTCCTTCAGTTGAGCACATCGTGGTTACAGCAGCCGACAGCACAGGCAGCAGCGCGACAGCGTCCTTCCAGAACAGCCAGTCCCTAACGCATAGGAACAACGTTTCTTTACTCGAACCGTACCAAAAATGTGGATTAAAAAGGAAAAGTGAAGAGGTCGACAGCAACGGTAGCGTGCAGATAATTGAGGAACATCCACCTCTCATGCTGCAAAACAGACCTGCGGTGGGTGCTGCGGCCACAACCACCACAGTAACCACTAAAAGCAGCAGTTCCAGCGGTGAAGGGGATTATCAGCTGGTCCAGCATGAGATCCTGTGTTCTATGACAAACAGCTATGAGGTCTTGGAGTTCTTAGGCCGAGGGACGTTTGGGCAGGTGGCGAAATGCTGGAAACGTAGCACGAAGGAGATTGTAGCCATCAAAATCCTGAAGAACCATCCTTCCTATGCTAGGCAGGGCCAGATAGAGGTGAGCATCCTCTCTCGCTTGAGCAGTGAGAATGCTGACGAGTATAACTTTGTTCGCTCCTACGAGTGCTTCCAGCACAAGAATCACACATGCCTTGTGTTTGAGATGTTGGAACAGAACTTGTATGATTTCTTAAAGCAAAATAAGTTCAGTCCGTTGCCCCTGAAATACATCCGGCCAATTCTGCAGCAAGTGGCTACTGCCTTGATGAAGCTAAAGAGCTTGGGTCTGATACACGCCGATTTGAAACCAGAAAACATCATGTTGGTGGACCCTGCGCGCCAGCCCTACAGGGTGAAGGTGATAGACTTCGGCTCAGCCAGCCACGTGTCCAAAGCCGTGTGCTCCACTTACTTGCAGTCGCGCTATTACAGGTGAGTACTGCCGCGACGCTCGCGCGCTGCGCCAGCAGGGAGGGGCTGGTCCCCAAGGGGTGCTGGGGGGTTCGCTCTGCGAATACTCAGCTTGTCTGCTCTTAGGTCTAGTCCCAGTGGAGGGGGGAGGAGGAAGTGAACAGCCTGTCCACTGTTGCGTATGTTGCCTGGAGATTTCTGAAATTTGTGTGTAAATAAATACAACTTCTTCTTTGCCGGGGTGACACAGAATGCCGTCCGATACCATCCTTTGCCCCAGGTCAGGGCAGTGAGTTGATTTTACCCTGTTGCCCCTTTGTGGTGGGTGAAGTAGCAAACTGGGGAAGGAGTACGCTGCTGTGAAGTGGGGCCTTTTGGGTGGTTTGCTGTGATCTGAAGCTACTCCGTTACACGGTCATTTAGAAGGGACAGAAGTCAAAGGGACACCACATTCTTTTTACCCCGTTTCTTCTGGTTCCATCTTTGAACTCGCTGCTTGAGCACGTGACTTCCTGTGTCAGCCCTGGGTAGGTCACGCGTTGGTGAGATGTGGAAAACGGGGCTGAGCCAGATCTCCGCTTCCCATAGTGAAACGTAGAACTGGCCTCTGCTGTGCTCCCATCTAGGAATTACGAACAAACTATGGGTAAAAAAGTTAAAGCTCAGAAACTGTCGCTAAGGCAAGCAGTGCTTTCTCTTTCCATCATTCCTCCAGCTTGGTTCCCTTGTAGGGTGTATTTCAGTAGGAGTAGCAGCACAGTCAGTGGATGCAGGAAGAACTTCTGGCATCAGAGAGGCATGACAACGACCGTGCTGTGTGCCAGCGTTGCCTTCAGTGGAATGTGAGGTTGCTTGACGCAAAACTTAAGTAGTATCTAGTCCTTCCAGCTGGGACGAGACAGAGGACTCGAGACACTCCACCCCACCCTGTGTCTCTGCCCTGTTTGATGTCTTTCCCGTCCTCGTAGCTTCAGTTGAAAGCTCTGCCTTGCTGTAGGCTTGTTCTGTTTGTTCCTCATACGCCCTGTATCCTTGCCCCCCTTTTGTGTGGTCTTTACTCCCGCTAACACCGAGCACTAGCGTTCTGTGCCATTTCTGTCATGTCATACAGCCTTTTCTTAACCCATTCCTCCTGATCTTCGCTTATTGGCACCACTCTCTCCGATTCTAAACTGGGGGTGGTTGTTTTCGGTCACGCAGTTGTCCCCCGTGCAACACAGCTCTGTTACTACAGTGCTCGCTGTCTGAAATGCAGTCTTAACGTCGTTGCATCGAAAGGGGCGGCTGCTGATCAAGAACCTGCTCGCTCTGACGCGCAGCACGTGAGCAGAGCAGCCCGGGGAGCCGTCCGGTGCTTCCCAGCTTCCGATATCGCACAAGGCGGGTTTGGCTGAGGCCGAAGCAGCGAGGGGTGATAAGCATCTGAAAGGGGCTGCTGGGAAGGAAGCTGCCTGCCCCTCTTTGTGTGCGGCACCGAGCTCCAGCCCCTTCCGCCTCCCCGACGTGGGGTGACTGACACTGCCAGAAAGGCAAATAACCTGAGATTAGATGGTGTTTCAGACTCTCTGCTTGACTGCAGTTAAGAATGCTGTGATGTGGAAATCTTATATTTAGTGATGTGTAATTAGTTTAATGGTGATGATTACTAAAATCCATAATCTAGGGCCTGATGGAGATGGCGTGGAAACCAGGTTACTGTGGGAGAACTGGATTGCTTTCCCATATTCGTGTTAGCGTTTGGGTGAGTTCTGAGTTGTCGACGTTTTCGATGCTGAGTTTAACAAAACAGTACAGGCCAATTCTTCGCTTGGCTCTCTGTCAGCTATTACAAACAAACTTCCCGTTCTGTGTTCAGCTTTTAATACTTGTCACCGGCGCTTAGGCAACCTCTGTCTCTAGAGACACATGAACCAGCCAGACTCGGGTGCTCTGAGGTGGATTTTCTGATATATATATATATACCCTGAAGGAAAACCTTCCATTATTAATTACGGTCAGTGCTGCTGGAGGTCACCTTGTCCAACAGCCCCGCTCGCTCCAGGTTCTGGTTGTACTTCTGGCAGTTGGGCAGCTTGCTTTGCTCTGGATGGCGCTGCCAGAGCCACACATCCAGCTGGGGTGCCAGGGAAGGCCTGTTGAGGCTGCCTGGTGCTCTGCGTTACACGCAGGTACAGCCGTGGTGCGGGTCTTGCTCGCGTCCCTCCCTCCTGGTGCCTCCTGCGGGCCAGCGTAGCTGCCCTAGCAACCGAAGCTGCTGAGCTGAAGGGTTGAGCGCTCTGGGCCAGGGGAGGGTGGTGCTGGGTGCTGAGGGAGCTCGCAGGGTGCAGCATCTGCTTCTTACCTCTGCTTTGGGCCGCACAACCTTCTGCCCCAGCCCTGTCGGCCCGGGGAGCAGCAGTGCACGCTGCCAGCTCTCGGCTAATCCAGCTCCGAGTGGGGACCGGGCTCTTGGCTGCATCACTCCTGGCAGTTGTACAACCTTCGTGTTTCCATCCTTCCTCGTGAGGGCGAGGGCTGAGGCCCCGTGTGTCTGTTTTGAAATGCTAAAAGAAAGTGTCAGATTTTTCTACTACTGCCATGAATCCTCTCTCCTCGGAGAGTGCCTGGGCCTATTTGCCAGCTTTGGAAGTCGGAGCTCGGCAGGCTTGCGTGCAAAGGATGTTGTTGGTCTCTGTTTCGAAGAGCTTAAGGTGCTGAAGTGTCTGACAGCAGCTCTGAACGTGCCCTGCAGAGTCGCCTCTCGCAAGGCCACCAGGTACGGTGGCGTTATGAGGAGGATCCGCCTGAGCAGCTCTGCCCCGAATCGGGACGAAGCCAGGGGCTTGGGAGAAGTTCACTTCTTTGGTTTCAGGGAACGAAACGCAGAGTTCAACTCGCTGTTTTGGTACTGAGGGTTCGGAATACCCAAGTCTATTCCAGCAGGGAAAGACTGACAAACTGTCACATCCAGCCTTTGCTGCTGCTAATCTCCCTTCTCACTGGAACTGGGGGGATTTTTTAATCCACAGAAAGATTAGCGCTCTCCTTATGCCACGAACCACTTGTAGTTTGTTTACCAGTCCAAACCAAGGAAGCGTAGCATGCGGGGTTGAGTCCTGTCCAAACTGCAAATTCTCCTGTAAGTAGGATGATCAAGAGGATCAGTGCAGGTTGTTGATGATGACCAGACTAATGACACTGGGGTTCGGAAAATCCCGCGTGAATGACTGTCAAACTCGCCGCTTGTGAAGACCAAAGCCCCACAGAAATGGATTCCTCTTGGCAGCACCTGGTAGCCGATGGAAAGTCAGGTCCATTCCAGCGTAGCCCTTTAAAACACACATGTTTAGCAGGACTAATATCAGATACTTAGAATATTTGCATAATCATTTCATAGTTTCACATCTGTGCAGCCATTCCGAAGTTGGCTGCTGCCGGGGATAGATGAGCAGAAGGTGGAAACATTGGTGTCCAGGGAAGTGTCCGAAGGCCTTAGCATAAATGGTCTGTTATTCCGATTGCTGGGGGGATCGGGGCTGGTCTGGGGAGCTCAGACGTAACAGAGGAACCTCCTTGCTCGAAAGCCAAGTGACAGAGACTCGCTGTGACCCCGCTGCAGCTGACAGCTGGGTCAGCTACCTGCCTTTGGATAGATCCTGCGCTTTCCCTGGACACTGTGCCGGGCGGCTGGGATGAGCGCGTTTGTTTTGGAGACTGGCTAATGACAACTGGGTAGTCACCTAAACCAGAAGCTGTATCTCTGTCACCGTGACACTAAGGGTGATTAATTGGAGAGTCACTTCTTGCCAGTACAGGCAGTTGGGAGGTACATTCGGGTTGGAGAGCTGGGGACGGTGTCGGATCTGTTGACACCTCTACGTTATGCAAGTCCTGTTGTTCAGGATCCTGTAGAAAGATCAGAAGGGGTTGCAGAGCCTTTGTTGACAGCAGGAACACCCACGCTGTCGCGTGAGAAATGTCAGGCAAGCCCAGGGACGGGCTGTCCAGGTCACAGCCGGAAAGCAGATCGCTGGAGTTTAGGGTTTTCCTGCCTTCTCTTGCCCTTGTGTCGGTTATGCACGACAAAGATCAAGGTTTTCGTGTTTCCTGTAGTTTCCAGAGTAAATTCCCACGCCAGCTCACGTGGGGTTTGCAGCACCTGGGTTTTGTGCTGTATGCAAATGTGTGACCAGAATTTAGCCTGACGGAACGGCGTCGGTTTGTGTCGGAGCCGTGTGTAGGTGAAGAGTTGTGCTAAAACATCCTTTGTGTTATGAGTCAGTTCCAGACGGAAATCTCCCTGGAATTCCAACCTGTTGCAGAAGCAAACCCTGCTTGGAGTTGGAGTTTATCCCCTTCTCGTACGGGCTAGGCCAGGCAGGTGGATTTTGCAGGAGGCCGTGGGTCAGCGCGCAGGGACCTGTAGCGCAGCCTTGCCAGGAGGCACGTCTCCGGCGGCGTTCCCTCCGTCTGTTTAAGCTCGGAACTCTCCAAACAAACCCTGTAGGGAAGAACCCCAGCCGCACGCCCCTTTTGTGGCTCTGCAGATGCTGCTCTTTTCCCCATGAAAACAAGCAGCCTCCTGCTTGGGAACTGCTTCCCAGAGAAGGCCGAGCACCGTTTGCTGGGACAGCGAACCCCAGTTCCCGTTGGGGCAGGCTGTGCACTGTCTGGGGGCCCCTCGCCCCTCTCGTGCCGTCGGGTGTCGTTACGCCGGTGACTGAGGGATCGGCTTTGTGGTTGTGCAGGGACCACCTGGGCCTTTGGGTGCTCCGTGGCGATAAACCGCATCCGGCCGTGTCACTGGGCTGGAAGCTTGGGATGTGCCAGGCCACTTGAGGGAACATCTTCAGCTTTGAAATTTGACACAGGTTTACTTGTGCTTGGGGGAGGGAAGGGGGGGGCATTCTGCAGCGTGGTTCACAGGGAAGGAAGATTCTCATTTTTGTTTTGTTTTAACAGGGCTCCCGAAATCATCCTGGGCCTGCCCTTCTGCGAAGCCATTGACATGTGGTCGCTGGGCTGTGTGATCGCGGAGCTGTTCCTGGGCTGGCCGCTCTATCCAGGAGCGTCTGAGTACGATCAGGTGAGAGTGGGTGCGAGTGCCTGGGGAGTGCGGGGCGCTGGGGCGGAACCACAGGTCTGTGGTGGGGCCCTCTGTACCCAGCATGTCCCATGCCAAGTTTCAGCTCTGGCCGGTCATCTGGGTTCATTCTCTGATGTTCCCTTTGCCTGTCAGTCTCTGTATGTGGGGTTCTGCGTGTTTTAACTACGAGCACAGAGTCAGTTGACAGTGAACCCCCGGCTTCCCAGCCAAGAGCTGTTGAAACACCTTCCTGTCAAAACAGAAGTGAGGTGTGTGCCCTGACGTGAAACGCCCTCTGTAATTTCACCATGAGGGCAGTTTTTCCATGTGGAGACAGGGCAAGCCTATCATTCCTGTCCTGTTAATACCTACAGCGGCCCTCGTTTGTAATGCAAAGTGGGAGCCCCAAGCTGTCTCTGAAATGGAGGGGCAGGAGTCTGCAAAGGCATCTTGAACTAATTGCTTCTTTCCATGGATGCTTTGCATTATTACCTGGGCAAGTCAGCGGCCTGCAAGAGGGCAGAGAGGCTGCACCGCAGGCTCTTGAGGGTGACCTTTCCACTGTGGTTTTATGGTGGCATCTTCTCACAGTACTTGGTGTAGTTTTCCTTATGTGATACAATACGTGACAGCTTACTGAGTTGGAAGACTTCCTGGTGTTACGTCTTCCCAGCACTGCACGTTTCCAAAGGAAACACAGCGGTACCTTCACGAGCAGGGCGAGCTAGACAATAACTGAGGTTCGGCATGGCGTTCCTCACACGCTGCCCTGCGTGTAATTCTGAGAACCTTATCTAGCGTAGGTGGGTGGGGAGGAGGTGCTTTTTCCATTGCCTCATAGGCAGGATTCCGCAGTCCTTAGCGAGGCAGCGTGAGGTGTGACTTCGTGTGCTGACAGTGATAGCTGACTTGCCCTTGAAAAGTGGGGATGACCTGTTTCATGTCTCCTGAGATCCTGCACCAGCAGGTAAAAGCTCGGGCAGAACCTGCGAGAGGAACTCTCCAGGAGTGAGTTCATGGCTTGGGATGGGGTTTACAATTAGTTTTTTAAAAAGTGTCCTTACAAGTGCTGGGGGTGCTCCCTTTAATTGTGCGGTTATCTGGGCATTCTTTAACTCCAGGTTGACTCCTGTTCCCTGTGAACAAACCTGGCTGACAGTTACTCCATCGGCTAGAAGTTCTTTATATCGGGGTGCTCATGCTTTCAATTTTCTTTCCTAGATTCGTTATATTTCACAAACTCAAGGCCTTCCAGCAGAGTACCTTCTCAGTGCGGGAACGAAAACAAGCAGGTTTTTTAACAGAGATCCAAATTTGGGATACCCCCTGTGGAGGCTAAAGGTTGGTCTGTCTTTTTAATTCCCAGTTGTTTTGTTCATTCAGGACTTGATCGAAATTCACACCCGGTTTTAGTGTGCTGGGAAGACACTGGGGGTGAGGATTGGATTTGAAGTGCCGTTCAGACGTAGCTGATGGGTGGCTGCGTCTCGGCACTGCGCAGGCCTCCTGGTTACGCCCCTGACGACAGCAGCTGATAGTGCCAGCGCAGAGGGGGCGTTGGGTAATGGGGTGATGGTTCCTGTTATGGCCTGCTCAGTCCCGGTGAAGCGTGTCACCGTGTTGTCATCTCCTGACAACACAGGGAGTGAATCGGGGGGATTTCGTGGTGGTCTCTGTTAGTTTAACAACACTCTGGTGAGGTACTGGCAGAGGACAGGAGAGGGTCGGACGTACGCTTGATTTGCCTTCAATGCTTCAAAGGAAGGGGATTTTGCCTTTCTTTGTAGAAGAGGGATTTTTAAATATTTATAGTCTCTTCCAAAATTGGAAATGTTGAGTTGTTCTGGCCGTGCTCTGCCTAACAGAGCCCTGACGTGAGGTCATCCTGTTGTTGATTCAGCTTTGACGAACGGCCTTTCCAGCTGGGGGCACGTGAGCCCGTGGTGCTGTGGTTGGCCTGCTGGCACGCGGTTTGTCTTGACGCCGGCGGAGCATCACCTGGCTCGGCTCTTTTCTTGCTGCTTGTGCTCTGTCAGGATGCAATATCTCAATTTATATTAACGAGTGCTTTCTTCTGTAGACCCCAGAAGAACATGAGTTGGAGACGGGAATAAAATCAAAAGAAGCTCGGAAATATATATTCAACTGTTTGGATGATATGGCGCAGGTGTGTGGAGATCGTGGAATGCGCGGGTAGCCACCACATTAATTACGTGAATTAACAGATCTCTGAAAACGAGGCTCCTGTGGCACAGCAGTCCTCTTGCCATGCTGTTGAGAACACGGATGTAGGTTTGTCGTGGCGCTGACTTGCACTGGAAGCGCTGCGCTGTCAACTCTCCAGATGTTCGTTAGGAAGCTGTTAGACATGTCTTGGTTTTTCCTGAGCCTTGATCCGGTGGATGCAACAAGCGTGCTTGGCCTGACAAGTGTGTTAGCACTGCAAGTAGTTGAGCAGTAGGAAAGCTCAGCCCCTCCGTGTGTCCTGTGGGATTAGGCCCCTTACTGAACTTTGGAAAAGTTGACAGGAAGTCCAGGTTGGCTTATTTTTTAATTCTCTTTTCAGAGGTAAATTGAAGGAATAGCCAAGTGGTCTTAGTATCATGAGGCCTTGAATCTTAAATACGTTGGTCTCAACTTTCAGTGCTGTTGCAGCTGTTCTCATCACTTTACATCTGTGCAGAGGATGTAGAATCTTGCCATCCTGGCTCGCTAGTTCCTTAGACCCCCCCCAGAACGTTGAGGGCATATTGCCAGGCAGCGGAGAATGAGCCTGGTTGGCATCTATTGAACAGGCCAACTTCATGCTGAGGTGAGAATTCCATGTGCTAGTTTGGCTTCCCTTTATAGAATGAGCAAGGGAGAGGTGGTGCGTTAGTGCTGTGGTATATAAAATTAAGCTGGTTAAGAGACAGGAATGCTTAATAAATATTTCTGCGTGAGGCGAAACAGCTGAATGTTTAGGTAGCGATCTGATGTTTGCGTGAACTGCTCATTTTATTTTCAAGGTGAATATGTCTACAGACTTAGAAGGGACTGACATGTTGGCAGAGAAGGCTGACCGAAGGGAATATATTGATTTGCTGAAGAAAATGTTGACTATTGATGCAGATAAGAGAATTACTCCACTGAAGACTTTGAACCATCCATTTGTGACAATGACACATCTCCTGGATTTCCCACACAGTAATCAGTAGGCTTCCTTCCATCGCTTGTTTTGTTTCGGGGGCAGCTCCTGGAGCACAGAGCAGCTCTTCCCTGCTTTCTCGGGGCTGTTTTCTGCCGTTTCTGGCTGATATACAAATAGCAGTGACACGTATAAGGAATGGAATGGTCATAAGCTGCTTTTTCATGTTTTAGGACCTCCTTGGTTTGGGAGTGGGGGTGGGAAAAGGGACCTAAACCTAGAGGCATGTGCATAAAGTTGGGTATCTGTCATGTGTGTTGTGCTGGGTTTACACATCTGATGTTTTCCTTCTGTCGTTCTGTTTCAGTGTGAAATCTTGCTTTCAGAACATGGAGATCTGCAAGCGCAGAGTTAGTATGTATGACACGGTGAACCAGATTAAGAGCCCGTTCACGACTCACGTTGCCCCTAACACAAGCACAAACCTGACCATGAGCTTTAACAACCAGCTCAATACAGTGCACAACCAGGTACAGCATCTTTAGCTGCTTTGGACTGATGCAGTAGTCTTTGTGTCTCCAGGCTGAGCCCTGCTCGGCAAAACACTGTATTCAGATTTCTCTCCAGAATTTGTAGTCTTGTCCTGAAATGTAATTTTCCAAAACTGAGGCCAAGGCAATCCCTTTGTTTCACCTGATCGGGGTTGCCTGTCAGCTCAGCAACCTAAGTGAAGGTGGTGCAATTCATGTTTTCTCTCCTGTGTTGGCTTGTGCTTTTTACCCAAGACCTTTTCCGGGTGCTCGCGTTGGCGTAACGCTGATGGTTCTGCTGTGTGCTTTGTAACAAGTGATGAATCTTATTTATGGTTTTTCCCCCTAGGCCAGCGTATTGGCTTCCAATTCTACTGCCGCTGCTACTCTTTACTCCGTGCGGAACTACCAGTCTGCCCTGTATCCATCCTCGGCAGCTCCGGTGGCAGGAGTGGCGCAGCAGAGCGTGTCCCTGCAGCCTGGAACCACCCAGATCTGCACGCAGACGGACCCCTTCCAGCAAACCTTCATTGTTTGTCCCCCCGCTTTCCAGAGTAAGCTTTGAAGGGGTTGGGGTCCCAGTTGGGTAGGGAGGAGTCGTGATGTGCGCGGAGCGGAGCGGAGGAGGCACGGAAGACCGTGCCGTGCGTGTCACAGGGCGCTCTGGCACCAGGTGCAAGCGCAGAATCAGGTCAGGCGTGTGTAGACAGTTTGGTTCTCTTCCAGGTCGTGCTTGAACAGGTGACAGGATCTCGCCTGCCTAGGTTGCAGCCTTCATCTGGTTCCTCAACCAGTTTTTCCCCCCAAACTGAACACAACAGCATTCCACAGAAAGCAGGGAGCAGTGGAGCCAGACCTATCCGAAAATAGGGAAGTGCTTGTATGTCAGGAGTGAGTGTCTGCGCTGAGTCTGGGCTCACAGGTGCCGGTGCAACCGTGCAGCTTGCTAGCACGGAATTGTCACGGGTCGCGGGTAGGTGAGGTTCGGACAAGCCCAGCTCCGGTAATCCCGGCAGGTCTCTCGTTATGTTTGTGTCTGCCTTGTCTCAGCATGGCGGGTTGTCTCTGCAGTGGGCATTGATGGAGTAAGGGCTGAAGTCAGGCTCAAGCCACATGGAACTAGGTGTCTGTTATCCGTGTTTCTGAAGGCAACACCATAGGCTTCAGCAAAGCCCAGCCTTCGAGGACTGGTCCACGGTGGCCCTTTGGCGCACCTGGCCTGCAGCAGTGTGGCCTGCAGCAGTGTGGCCTGCAGCAGATGTTCCATTCCGAGTGTGGCAGCAGTGTGCAGCAGATGTTCCATTCCGAGTGTGCTTTCATCAAAGGGAACGGCTTCTCCTTCCCTTCCGCTGACTGTTTTCTGCCCTGACCTGGCAGGAATTTGAGTTTGGAAAGGAATTTTTTAAAAAAGAGCATAACAGAGCAGCTTAGCAGTCATGTGTTCTTGTCCTCCACAGCCGGACTTCAGGCAACTACAAAGCATTCTGGGTTCCCTGTACGGATGGAGAATGCTGTCCCGATTGTACCGCAAGCACCTGCGGCTCAGCCACTGCAGATCCAGTCCGGAGTTCTCACCCAGGTAAAGACAGTAGAATCCCTGGGGTTACCTGCAATTCCTGCCGCCATCCCGGAGACCCCGAGTGCCCCTCTGGTGCCGGGGTGAGCGCAGGGCGTTCTCGGAACACCGAGAGCTTCAGTGCAGACAGTGTTGTTTCCGTTTGCTCTGTTTTTCTGGAATATTAAGGTCTGAGCTATTTTATGTCATGTGCCTCCCTGGGTTTAGGAGTCTTGACTTAACACTGGGAATAAATATGTAGTTTCCAGCTGCTAAAAACATGCTGTGTTTTTTGCAGGGGTGTACCCTGCCTTCTAGGTAGTGGTGTATGGTTTTGCCTACACTTTAGAAATGTGGCAGCAAATTTTAGAAGAAATCAGTTTTGTGAGAAGCGAGATCCCAGTAAACGGAAGTGGCAGCGCAGACAACTCGTTAAAATTTCATCTTTAAATCAACACAATGTTATCTGGGCCCCTCCCCGTTAGTTGCATTGTTAGTGTGCATCGATGTGTAGCGGTGATGTACCTCCTTCTGCGGTTTGCAGGTTAAATAATAGCAAAATTCACAAAGAATTCTAAGAAGTTACGTTTTAAGCATTAGTAATGGGTCATAAATTAAATCAGTTTTTATTTCGAAAAGGTGAGGCTTTAGCATGCAGTGAGCGCCCACTGATTCACAGGTCTTGCTCGCTGGAAATCTAGTCGCCTTTACAATTTCAGTGCACTTTTATTTATTTGCATAGTCTGAATTCTGCTGACATTAACACACCCTTCTAGCTTCCCTCTCCAGGCAGGGTATGGTACTTCCTGACCTACTTGTAGGGGAGTCATTTTAGACTGTTTACTCCGAATGATTTGGTGGCATTCTGTGATCTCTGGTTTGTTCAGCGTAATTGCGCAGGTTAACGATACCCGAAAAGCAGAACACGCTCCTGCGGCGCCCCGCCTGACTCCAAGCCCTGCTTCTGCTGAGAGTGCACGTTGAGGATCTGGGTTTAATTAGACATTCCGTGGACCACTAAGTGTCTTAGCAGTTTCATCACAGATAACGTTGCTCTTCTGTGGTACAAAAGACCTACCGTGCCTTCTGCTAAACCCCTTAGTTTACCTTTTCCAGGGCACTGTGGAGTACGATAGTGAGCGCCGTGGCCCGCCGGGGTGCGGTTTGTGCGGGGGGGTGCAGGGCAGGTGCTGTGACGTGCTCTCTGCGACCCACTGAAGTGTCAGTAGCTGAACACCATTTTGTTTTTACATTTTAACTGTGTCATCGGAGAGATCCTGTTCCTTGTGTTCCCCTCAGGGACATGTAATTGCTTAGAGGAACATGCCCGGAGGGTCTGGGTGTGGGTTCCACCGCATCCATTGCAACCCTGGAGTCTGCTCAAGCACCATAGAATGCCAGTGAGGTGAAGCCTTTTCTGGCCCTATTGCTGAACCCCCTTGTCCTGCTCCGTACGTGTGTTTCACTCACTGCCTGATCTACATTTCAGGGAAGCTGTACACCACTAATGGTAGCAACTCTTCATCCTCAAGTAGCCACCATCACGCCGCAGTATGCGGTGCCCTTTACTCTGAACTGCGCAGCCGGCCGGCCGGCGCTAGTAGAACAGACGGCTGCAGTACTGGTAATTGCCTCCCTTGATTGTGTTCACTAACTGAGTTTTTGTTTTAACTTAGACTTGCAGAGGGCATGGAAGCATGTGCCATCTTGTGGCTGTGTTCTTGCTACATCTTAATGTCTCGTTGTTTTCCTCCCCAACATTGCTGAAGCACTGTCTGACTCTGACGTTTAGTGTGGCTCTGTAAAGAATCCAGATCCATTGACTGACTTTTCACTAGCCCAGCATTATAAAGCTCTTCTAAGCTACACTGTAGAAGAGTTGTAATTGCCCTTGCTCTTCGCTTACTGTCCTGTCTTTGCCTTTTGATTGCTGAATACAAAGGAATCGGTCGTTAGCTGGACTCTGCTACAGGTACCTGGATGGCCAGAATTTGAACCACTTGGCAAGTTAGCTACGTATTTCGTTTTCGGCGCTTGTAAAGCTGCTTTGCACGTAGACGTGTTTCAGGTGATTAAGCACAGGCTAAAACCTCCAGCGAGGGCAAACTATTGGATGTGTTGCTTTAGCAGTCGATTTCCCTTAGCCTCTGTTGAACCCTGACCACGATTTTCTGGCCGTGGGTTATTTGTAGCCAGTCGCAGGTAGCTCGCTAATCCCGACCAAGAGGTGTCCTTCACAGAACTCTCAGTTCACACGCATTTCGGGGTTGAAATTAAAGGGAAGCTCTGGTATCCAAATGGCAAGAGCTAGCTTTCAGGCTATTTGGAACCATTTTTTAAGAGGACGGGGGCAGGGAATAAACGCACCCTTACGAAGCCTGCTCTTCTGTACTGGCTTGGCACCTGCGTCAGGCCAGCTTCGCAGAGGCCACAAAGTCATCGTGAAACTCCAGAATCAGATCAGTGAAGCTTACGAAAGCACTGCCGTGCACTCGCGTGCCGGTGCCCTCACGCCTCAAAGCACATCCCATTACGTGAACCATGTTGTTTCTTGTGGCTTCCCAGTGCTAGTTTGAGTGTCGTTTCCTTCCAAGAGGGAGACTGCAGAGGTGGAATTTGCTGGAGTCATACCTGTGCTGAAGTCAAACCCCACCCCTTCGGGTTCTGAACTGAGTTAACCGCTCCCCGTTCCTGAGGACGGGAAGGCAGGAGAGCGGGCTCTCCTGGGTCACAGCTCGGAGCTCAGCAGACCCCGGGATCCACCTCCTTTCCTCCTCCTGCATTTTGATTGCTGAAGGGCTGCAGCCTGGGCTCTGAAAAGGGCCCGGGGTGACTGTAGCAGAGCTTGGGACACGTGAGCTGTTAGTAATGTTTCCCAAAGTGTCTTTGGGCTCCTGATTCAACAGGCAAATTGCGTTCTCCCGTGTGTGCAGTGGGTTTGGCGCTCAGCTCCCCTGCACGGCAGCGGAGATCAGAGCCGGCGCTCCATGAGCCTGGACTCTTGAGTTTCTCTGGAGGGCTTGCTTTGGATTCTGGGAGCCTTTGGTGTGAATTGGCTCACCTTTAGTGCTTCCGACACTTCTCCCTTGCTGCTTCCCCTGAGTTTGCATCAGCCATTTGCTCAGCTTTGCATATTTTTGTCCTTCCTCTGTCAAACAGTTCGTCGCTTGGAAGGCCCGATTTCTGCCTCTCAGTGGGAATTTAGATCTTGCTGTATTAAACTCTCTGCTTTGTCTTGTGCAGGTGTTGGCTTTTGGAAAGACGCATGGTGTGACTTTTAACATATATTTTTTTTTTTTTTTTTTTTTTTTTTTTTTTTACATATTATTATTCCGCTTACGTTGGCAGAGGTTTTAGCAGTTCTCTGCTTTGAAGGCTCCTTGTGTGGAACCAGTGTTTGTAATCGGTGGATCTGTTACTTGCAGAAATATGTTTTTAAAACAGCAGGTGGTTAGGGGTTTGCAGATCAAACTGCAAGAAAGAGCCATATATTTTCAAAATTATAGAAATGTACTGCCAAATTGGTTTGGTTTGGGTTTTTTCTTCCCCTGGAAAAAAAATAATCTGCATTTTGTCGACCTGGCCAGGACCGTGAACCACGCCAGAGAGTGGAAAATGTCTCCACGGATCTCCCCTGTTACTAAACTTCTTCTCAGCATGGCTGTTCGTAAATACTTCAGTTGAGGTGGGGAGAATTTTCGCAGTAACAACACCACCTCAGCTCTCGATGTGAGAGCCCTGGGAGGCAGCAAAGCAGAAAGGACCAAATTGGCTTCCCGCTTCGGAATCCGTCAGCGGAGCGGCGTGCGGGACGGGCAGGACCTGCCCTGCACGCTCGTGCCACATCTGGCAGTGCCGTGTGCGGCTGCAGGCGGCCGTGCGGTGTTAATGCTCTTTCCCCAGGGGACATCCGCGATGCCAGAGCTTAGCAAGGTGTCAGGGGAGCTCCTTTCTCTGGTTTTCGTGTTCTCTGGCTGTGCTGAGACCTTATGAGAAAGCGCAATGATGTGCCGTTATCTCTGCAAGCTAACAGTCTCCACGAGTGCATTTATTGCTTGGAACAAGTCTCCCTCCTCCTGTAGGAACTGTAACGTAGTGAACCTGTGTGTCTGTCTGTTGTTTTGCAGCAGGCCTGGCCTGGGGGAACCCAGCAGATTCTGCTTCCTTCCACCTGGCAGCAGCTCCCAGGGGTTGCTTTGCACAACTCTGTGCAGCCAGCGGCCGTGATTCCGGAGACGATCGGCGGCAGCCAGCAGTTAGCTGACTGGAGGTAGGGATTGCGCAGGGTCCAACCCCTGCCGAACGGAAGTACGTGCCCTCGCAGCACTGCCTGTAGTGCGCAGAAGTTCTCCTTTCCCTTCAAAAGCACGCGGTGGCTCGGTGCAGCATGCAGCACCTGCACTGCAGCCATGGGATTTAGATCTTTCTTTTTTGTTTTTCGGCTCCAGGAACGCACATTCCCATGGAAATCAGTATAGCACTCTCATGCAACAGCCCTCACTGCTGACCAACCACGTGACGTTAGCTACAGCGCAGCCCCTGAATGTTGGAGTCGCTCACGTCGTTCGGCAGCAGCAGAGTGGTAACGTTGCGGCCAAGAAGAACAAGCAGCCAGCACCCACGGCAGCCAAGTAAGGCCCCATTCCCGGCCCTGGAAAGGCTGGGGCGGGGGGTTGTGATGGTCGCCTTTATGGTGTGAAAACTGGCCTTTCCATCGCAGCGGCGTTGTCTCTGTGACTTTTCAACGTGCCGCAGTCGCTTTTAAAGGCGTCTAGGAACGCGTCGCTGTGCTGTAGTCGCTGATGGGGTCGTAGCAATTACAGCGCAGGGAACGTGGCTGGCCAGGTATTGATTTGGGGGGAGGGGGTTATGCATTGAGGGGTGTTGGTGCCACAGCAATACAAGTGACAGGATCGACATCTGCCTGACAAGGGGCGGCAGGTTCCCGGCAGCGTTTAGATTAACCGGTGCCGTTCGGAGCGTCGCTGAGGGCGTTGGTCCCCCTGGGCTGTGTTCCATGGTGCTCCCCTGTACGAGTGTCTGCACAGAGGGGCTCAGCGTGCTTGTGTACGCGCTCCAGGCTGCCGGAGCCCGGCTGCTCGTCACGCCTGTGCTGCTTCGTCCCCGCCTGCTGACACGTAGCTGAATTCTGCTTTGGTTTCCTGCAGGCCCAGCGCAGCTCTGGAGACTGTGCCCTCCCAGGTTTACTCTCTCATCGGGAGCAGTCCTCTGCGCTCCACCTCCTCCTCTTCCAACGTGCTCGTCCCAGTGCAGGAGCAGCACCAGCCCATCGTGATCCCAGACACTCCAAGCCCTCCGGTCAGCGTCATCACCATTCGCAGCGACACTGATGAGGAAGAGGACAGCAAATACAAACCTGCCAGGTAGGAATTCCACGTAGGCAGCCAGGACTGGCCTGTCCTGAGCTCAGCCCAAGCATCAAGGAGAGTGGAGAGCACTACGTGCAAGGCCCTGGATAGGCTAGGAAACACAGCAGAAGACAAAATTCTGCATCGTGCCTGCTGTGCTGTGTGTGTCTCTTGTCATCTGACAGGGAGGGGGCTGTGAGGTGTGGTATCCTGTGGGAAAAGCTAGAATGTTTCCCATTCATTTGAGGTTTTTTTGTCCCCTGCAGTTTGGGTATGAAGCAGAGGTCCAATGTCATCAGCTACGTTACTGTTAACGACTCCCCGGATTCCGACTCCTCCCTGAATAGCCCCTATGCCGCAGACCCACTGTCCTCTCTCAGGAGCACAGGCGGTGCCCTGGAGCTGCCGAGCAGAGGAGCGGCAGACAGCTCCAGCTCTCGGACTATCATCGTGCCGCCGCTGAAAACGCAGCTCAACGACTGCATCGTGGCCACCCAGGCGTCGGGTAGGTGTGCTCACGGGTTACTGTGCTCGGGAGTTCTTGCCAAGGCCCGGCTACTGCCTTATCCCCGACAGCTTCGGTCTCCCAGTGCTGCACTACCTGCACTGGGTCTCCAGCAGTGTTAGGCTTGGGTAGGTGCTGTTCGGAGGGTGCCAGCCTTGCTCTGGTTTCGGTTGCATTGATGGAGTTACCTCTCGGATGCGTTCAGTTGCGTGTAGAAAGATCTATAAGAATTCCTGATGACTTATTGTACAGTCAGGTTTTAAATGGTAGTTGAAGAAGAGGGTCGCCAGAGCATTCGTTGGTTACCTAAGCTGGTTTTCGCGGGGTATGGCGTGAGAGGGACGAATGGACTAAGCTTCTGAAATCTTTCAGGCATCCTGAGCAGCACCAGTAAGACCAAGCCAGTGGCCTCCGTCAGCGGGCAGTCGTCGGGATGCTGCATAACTCCCACCGGGTACCGCTCGCATCGCGTGGTAGCGAACGGCGTGCAGCCCCTCAACCTCAGCCAGGTGAGCACCGGGTGACTCTGACCTTGGGACGTGACGCTTCAGAAACACTTTGCTGTACGTCAGGGAGAGCGACTGATTGCAGGAGGATCGAAGGCTGCGACCTCGTTAATTTTTTGAAGCTGAGCTATACAGGGCAGGGTAAACTCTGTAGGGAGGATAGCTGGAGTTCCTTGAGGCAAAGGATTTGTTCCTGTTCCAGAGGGCAGGAGGAGGAAGCGTGGTTCTGCCCCTGTTCTTTCGCGGTACTCCTGGTCACGCCTGGCTTGCAGCGAGTCCTTCCTGCCACTTAGGCGGGAGGGAGGGTGAAACCAGGATCCAGCTGTTGAATGGGAGTAGCACTGAGGGCACTCAGCAGGATGAGGAGGTCCTTTTGTTCTTTACCTTCCTTCTCTAGATCTTGCCAAGGCCCCGCCAGGAGATTAAGGCTGGACCTTGTCTCAAACCATCAGCACTCGACTGCCCTTGAAATTCTGAGCTTGGTTTCCCGTCATAGAATCATTTGGGTTGGAAG